CACCCCTCCCCCCCCCCGCAGGTGCTGAGGGGGGTCACTACCCTTCAGGGCTGGCGGGGACCACAGTGCTGTCATGAGGCACAGAACCACCGTGTCCACGTTTCGACACTTCTGCGCTTCTCCAACAACCCGCCCAGGAGGCCCCCAGGTCGCGAGTCCAGGGAGCAGGGTCCCACCTGGGGGCCTCTGCCTGCCCAGCCCGCCCACAGGAGGCATGCATGACCCCCAGACAGGGCAGACCCTGAGAGCTGGGGGTCAGGGGCTGCAGAGGGAGCATGACACCCCTTTCCCCAGGTGGAGGAAGGACCAGGCAGGCTGAGGCTGGTGACGACTGGGTGGGACTTGGGGGGCCTGACTGGGTCCATCTAGGGACTGATTACTGACCAACGCCCTGCAGGGACAGGACATGATGCGGTCCAGGGACGGACCTCGCCACATGCAGGCCTGCCCTTCATCGTGAATTAGGTGCAGAGATCACAGAATACCAGCTGCATTTTTCTGACAGCGAATACCATGTTTTTCTTTTTCAAATATTAGCTGCCATAAATAATAAACCTGCACCCCAATTAACAGACCCAGGAGCCCCTGCGGCAGAAAATACCATGCCCACCATGTGGAAACGGGGGTGGGTGGCATGGCCACACCGTCGGCAGAGCCAAGGTGCAGAGATCCAGGGAAACCGGTTCCCACACAGGGGCCTCGGGAGAAGCGACACATCCACCGGGAGCCCCAGATGAGATGGGGCGCAAATCCCCACGGGGAGGGGAGGAAACCAGGCTGCAAAGTATCTGCCTTGAGGGAGCTCAGTGCTCATTTTTAATTTAAGAAGAGCTGTAATTCGCCTAAAACCATCTGCCTCACTTCAGCAATACACAAATGGCCCTTCTAAGATCAGTTTCTGCACAGGTCCCAGGACCCGGGGGAGCATGGGAGCCGAGTGGGGCAGGCCCCGTGTCCCCTGCAGCCCACCCACCCTGATGCCCCTGGAGGCTCCTCTGCCCGGCAGAGACCCCGACAGGCCAGGCCGACTTCACCTGGGTCCCCACCTTGCAGCCAAAGGCTCTTCTCAGGGAACGTCTGACACTTTTGCCAAACTGTTGCACCGGGCCCCTGTCGGCAGAACTGCGCCTCTCTTTTCCAAACCAGACGCCTGACGATTAAGCTGTCCCCACCCCCAGGAGGACGGGAGAAGCCTCTCGCCCACCTGCCTCACTGCCACTGTCTGTGCACCCAGAGCCAGCGCTTCCCCGTCAGAGCAGAGCCTGACTCCGCTATTAAGGACTTGGGGCACAGAACGCCCCACCTTTCAACGCTGAGGACACACGGCCGGAGCACTAATTCCAGGTTCTGAACGCGTCAGCAGGAAAGGACAGCCGATGCAGTGCAGGAGGGGCCCGGGACGCCCCAGCCCACTCCCTGGAGCACCTCCTTGGGCAGGTGGCACCCCTCACCGGCGCGCCCTCCCCCACGCCCGCTGAGAGCCTCATCCGTTTAGTCAGCAAGGAGGAAAACAAGAGCTGCCGAGGGTCTTGGTTTGTCCAAGACTAAACACGTGTACAGAGATGCCTGCCATGCAGCACTCACGTCCCAGTACTCCTTCCCTCCGTAGTGGTCGTGAAGGAGGTTTTCGGCTCGGTCTAACATCACGGACCTATTTTTAAACAACAAGAAAAGGTTTTTATGTTCACACGCTCCAGAGAGCACTGTCATGTGGGAGGCCCTGGGCCAGGGAACAGTCAGGGACGAACTCTGAGAGGGTTAAACCTTGCTGGGTCGCCTGGGCAAATCTCTGCTGAGCCTCTCACAGGCAGCTGCCTGCAGAAACTTTTGATTCCTAAGCGCTCGAAACATTGACCAACTCTCTCCTGTCCCGGCCACTGAACTGGCTGAGCTACCAAGCTCGACTGTGACTCTCAACGCAAAAAACCCCACAAGTAAACAAAACATAAAATTAGCAAACAGAACCCAGCAATGTATTAAAAGGATGACACACGTGACGAATGGAGTTCACACCAGGAATGCAAAAACGGTTCAGTATTAGAACATCTATGGCTTAACTCATCATGTTACTGGATAAAGGGCAAAGCCGCATAACGATGGCTACCCCAAAGGAACAAAACTCAGTATTTACTCTTATTTTTAAAAATCACCTTAGTGAACAGACTCCTTATCATGTTTGTAATTCTCCAGCCAAAGCCACAGCCCCTTCTGAAAGGAAGGCTCCACTCCCCCCTCGCAAAGTGAGGGGCAGGAAAGGTGGTCCTGCCTGAGCTCATCAAGCAACCTGGAGAATCAGCACGTGTGGAAAGGACCCTCCAGAAACAGGCCACGGCTGGGGGGCGGCGGCCTGCATCTCCCCTGGGGTCTAAGAGCAGCGTGTTCCTCGGCCGTATACTTGAGTGTCTTCTGCTGAATTTGCTTACAAGGCCGCCTGCCCTTTACTCACTAATCTTTATTTAGCAGCTCTGCCTGTATCTGACCCAGCCCTGTACTGACTGACGTGACTGATGTGCTACAAACACCCCACTCTCCGTGGTTTGTCTTTCCATTTTGTTAACGCTTTCTATCGATGGACAAGTCTTATTAATTTTAACGTAACTGAATGTATCAACCTTCTCTCTCTGGTTAGTGCTGTTCACATCTTGAGTTTTCTGCATGGTGGGGTTCCCCCCACCCCCGGCCAGCCTCGTGGGTCTCAGCGCCGCCATCTCCCCGCTGTCAAGCCCCCTGCGTCTCTCATAAACAGAGGGGCCTCCGGGCACAAGTCTGTCCTGGGCTCAGCTCCCCTTACCCACAAATGGGACTCAGAAGAAACGGTCCCACAGCCCAAAGCTTCAGCCAGATCTGCTTTTGAAATGCAAACAGCTGTGAGACGAGTAACACAGGGCCCCAGCAAGCGGCACCCTCAGCAGCCTCATCTCTTACGTGGAGCTTGGACCCACCGAGCAGGGCAGGCGTCTGCTGCCTCCATGGACCCGCTTGCGTTCTGTTGACACAGGCCTGGAGGGAGCCAGCCTGGCGTTCTGGCACACTGGGGCTGTGCTGGGACAGTCTGCACCTTCCCGGGCCCCGGAGAGCACAGGAGGCCTGCCCTGTGCGTGTGCAGGCTCAGGGACACTGAAGGTAGCTAACAGGAGGGGCCCTCTCAGGGTCCCCATGTCCCCAGCAACTCACACCTGCAGGGAACTCCTAGGACACCTGCCTAGAAACCAAGCACGAGCCCCTCCTGAGGAGCTCGCCTGGCGCACCAAACCCTGCCACTCGCCTGGAACCCCAGCCCTCCCTGCTGAGCCTCTGGTGGCAGGGCAGGCGGGCGGGGCCTGTGTGGCTGGTTTTCTGCTTCCAGGCAGAACCGGCCACGCAGACACACTCCCAACACGCGAGGCCAGGAGCGGCCGCCAGGGCGGTGTGTCCAGGAGAGGCCTGAGCTGTTCCTCTGACCACTCACAGCTCAGGCTTCGAGGAGGCTGGCGAGAGAGCCTGATTTCAGGGGTGGCCCCGAGCGGAAGCACTCCTCGCCCATGCGGAACCTCCAAGGCCAGCTCTGGGCTGCTGCCCCAGCCCTGGTCACTCAGTGGTCACTTCAAAACCCTCCTGGCCCCGCTGGTCCCGCTCTTGTCCCGGCCCTCCCCCTGCTGCTGCCTCACGACCCCACGGCCCTCATCCCCGCCCCTCTCTTACTGCCCGCCCCCTGCCCCTACGCCTATCCTCACGCCCTGCTGCGTCCAGCAGGCCCCGGCTCACCCCACCACCTCTGACAGGACCCCAGGGCAGGATCCGGGTGTAAATCCGACTCCACCGCGCACCAGGGGTGGGCCCAGAGGCCCCCGTTGTGAGGCTTAAAAGCACGGCCGCTCCAAGCAGCACCGGGAGAACAGCTGCGGCGGGGGCGGGGGCGGGGGCGGGGGCGGGGCTGAGGTCTGGCCCTCCAGCGACCAGCCGGCAGGACGGAGCACAGGCACACACGGACATGCTCACACACGTGCCCTCGCACCAGCCATCACCCAGAGACCACACACTCACCGTGCGGACGTGTTTCTCAAGAGCACAGGGGCGATGATGGAAGCCGACCCCTGAACAGACAGACAGGAGACGTTTAAACCCCGCGTCTCTTCATAACCCCAAAACCATCCTCTGGAAAACAAGACCCACGGCACCCGGTTAGTGTGGTTCTTTTTCTGCGGGCAGTAAGTGAATCTAGACGCACGGCCTGATCGCGACGAACTCAGCTCGTTCTCTTAGTTCACCAATAAGTTTTCACAGCTTGTTGGTCGTGATCACAGGTAGTGACCCTGTGGAAATCTTTAAAGAAACCACAAATTTCACCTGATCTGATGAGACCACGGAAGCTTTCTTCAGGAGCCTGGACGGTACGATGACAGGAAAGCAGGGGCGGCCCGGAAGCAGCCCGGCGGAACGAACGCTTACGGGCCAGGGCCAGTTTTGACAGTAACTGTCCTTAAAGCAGCTGTGCCCTCAGGAGCTCCGGAGCTGCTCCAGGTCTAGAACCGGATTACTCTGGCCCCCCGTATGGGGGGCGCTTTGGGCGGGGCTGGGGAGGACACAGCAGCACTTCCATAGGCGGCTCTTCTGATGGCAGCTCGGTCTGGGGTGACAGCAGCGCCACGACCACGTTCAAGCACATTAAACAACATGGGAAGAGGTAGGTGTGTCTCAGCCAGGTATTTCTAAGCCAGCCTGAGCCCCCGAGCGCGGCGGTACCTGTAGTACTCGTGCTTGTCCTGCGAGTACAGGGGCGGCTCGATGCAGGGCCGGCTGTCGGTCCTCTCCTCCCAGGCCCCCTCCGCCCAGCCCTCTGCGTAGCCTTGCAGGACATAGACCTGCTCGATGAAGGGCCCGCCAGACTCTGCAGGAGACAAGGACCGACAGTAACGGCGACCATGGCACACACTGCGGCGATACAGAGAGGTTCCACTGTACTTAACGCCACCGTCTTCCCAAACAGGACTGGAGGAAGCTCATAAAAGCAGAGATGATGAAACAAGTGCCCTCGCCACATGGGGGTCCCTCGGGGGCGGGGAGGGCTGCCGGGGGGGGCTGTCCAGGAGCCAGCATCTCCCCTGGGCCGCTCAGCGCCCCAACCTCTTACAGCATCTGGCCTTGCCTGGGCCCCCTTCCCTTTCCAGCCAAACCCCCACGTTGCCGTGGGCAGGGCCAGTCCCCACGACGGCCGCAGGCTGCCCTCGCTCTGCCCCGCTCCTCCCCTGCAGCTGCGCCCCCGTGATGCCTGGGGCCCATGGGGCTGTGCTCCTTCCCCGGGACCCGAGTAGCTGACCCGCCTGGACCGTCCCCTCCGGGGCTCATTCTTGACCCCTGTGAGGCCACTCAAACTGCATCTCCCCAAAAAGGATGCCTTCCCAGTCCACGGCCACCGCCCAACACTCCGCACCCCTTCCTGCTTTCTCATCCTGAGGCTCTGGTCACTGCCGCAAGCGCTGCGTGTCCCCGCCACCTACTTATGCTCTGCCCCCGCCCCCAACAGGAGGCCCCGGAGAGCCGCGGCCTGTGTCCCTCTCACCCACTGCTCCTCCCACACCTGGAGCCTCCCAGCCACGACTTGGCGACAAGTGAAGATGTGCTCACAGGTGCAACGACGGAGCGCACTGACAAGAGAGCCACAGCGAGTGAGCCCGTGTCTTGTCCACACTCTCTCTGGCTTGGGCACGAGGCCCGGGCTCTGGGGCTTCTCCTACGGCGGGGCGGGGGGATGCAACACCGGGGCTGAGACGCCGGCCTGGAGGCCTTCCGGGTGTGACGCCCCATGCCTGTCTCCTCTGCAGTGGTAAACCTGGGCTGGTCAAGGCGGGTCTGCCACCTCCACTGTGTCACCCGGGGGCTCAGTCCCCACCCCCACCGCCCGGCCCGAGGGACACGGCCTGCAGAGCGGCAGGGACGACAGCCATCTGTAGTCAATAAGCACCCCTCGTGGCCGAGGCGCCACCGCGCTGGCAGGTCAGGGGCTGGTCCCCTGGGCGCCAGGGCCCGTGCAGACGAAGCCGAGCCTGCTTCCCGGGCTGAGTCAGGTCAGGAAGGCTGCTCCCCAGCCTCAGGGTTTGCCTCCCCAGCAGGAGCACAGACGGCAGCAGGTCGTCCGGTGGCCCTGCAGCCACAGCGGAGCCGCATGCGGAGAACGTCCCCGTGGGACAGGGTCTGCGGTGTGGTGAGAACAGAACCTGACAAGGAGGACGTGTGGGCCTGGCCTAGGCGGGAGCAGCGACGCTCAGGCCGCCAGGCCCTCGCACAGCAGAAGCGCGAAGACCGCCACTCAGGAACTGTGACTCGCTCTCCCGGGCTGCTCCAGGGATTGGGGCAGAGGTGTCCCTGACTGTTTATGTCTTCTGAATAAAGCAACGGTGAGCTCTAAGTACCTTCATTCTAAGAAATCTTCAACCCTTTCCTCTTAAAAACATTAAAATGAGAAGGTTGTCCAGAACCGAATGAGACAGGATGTGTGGTCACACGTCTCCTCCAGCACCCAGCCAACGCCACGCACGCAACATGTTTTCCTTCAGGTAAGACCAGCCTGGCCTGCACAGGGGGAGGCCCGTGGTCCTGCCCCCCAATCACAGCTCCAGCTCACCAGGCGGCCGGGCTTCTCAGAGGCAAGGGGACACACGGCTCATGTGTTTCAGATCTATTTCCCTAGAAAGACTGTGGAAAGGTCACCATCGCCGGTAGCGGGGGAAACGGAAGCGGCGCCCCAGGCAGAGCGAAGGCCCAAGAGGAGGCGCCCGGCTGCCCGAGGGCTCGGCCTGGCCTGATGCTCACGCCCAGACCAACGCCCGCGCGGCCCCAGCTACAGGACCGCTGCCCGCCTCACCTGCAATGAACTGTTCGTACTCCATGACGGGGATGTTCCTACTGAGACTCGGAAGATCGAAAAAGTCGGACCAGGGAATCCGGACCTGGCGAATGTCGGGGCTCCTCCAGTGGTAGAGGCGGCCCCAGGGGGGCAGCACCAGCACCCACTCCTCAGTCTTCAGCAGGGTCTTCAGGAGGGAGGCGACCCGGATGTACACGTCCCTGCGGAGGTTGAAGCCCTCCGGGGGGTTGACGTCGTACAGAAGATACCTGGCAGCGAGGGCAGGAGAGCGCTTCCTCAGGGCCGGGGCTCCGCACAGAAAACCCAACACCCCACGTCCACGGCCTAGCGCCAGACTCCAGGCACGGTCAGTAGCTTCTGGTCTGTAATGTGGAGGCAGCGGCCCACCCGTTTCCAGGGGACCAGTCACTTAAGAGTCCGCAAGTAGGAGCAGAAGACATCTCAGCATCCGTTTAACCACCAGCAATATTTCACAGCTAAGACCAGCAGAGTCTCGCAGCCAGAATCTGAGCGCTCACCCTCTGGGGGTTCTCAAACTTCTTGGTCTACAGACCCCTGCACACTCTTAACGATTACCGAGGACCCCAAAGGCTACTGTTTATGTGGGTTAAATCTATCGATAGTTCCTGATTTAGAATTTAAAGCAAGAACTTGAGAAAAGTATTTATGAATTCCCTTAAAAATAACAAAAATAAACGTATTACCTTTATCATTAGTATTTCCAAATTTCCAAATGAAAAATAAGTATACTTTTCAAGACAGAACTCATGAGGGACAAGAGCAGCACTGTTTTTAATTTCTGCAAAATTTCTTTTTGGTCTGGTGACCGCCGGATTTTCCCGTCTGCTTTTTCATTCCCTGTGTTATGGTATCACAGGCCAGGTGGTCTCTGGAAAATCTCCACAGTAAACTCTCGAAAGAGTG